CTCTCTCTTCGGATCGTTTCCTCATTCCTGAGGGTCGCGACCACTCTCCTTGACTCTCTCTCGAAGGGTGTTTCTCCATTCTGTGCGATTCGCTGCGCATACTCGATTTTTAGTTGTGCAACTAAACAGTTGAATAAGCTACGAATCAATCGACGATCGCAGAGCAGTTGTGCGATGTTTTAGTGAAAGGTGTGCCCATTCTAACGGTACAATACGCGGCCTAAACGAAGTGTGTATTGTACATTTTCTAGTACAAAGGATAACGAATAAGGGTCCACATTGTTGAGTCAAACACATACTAAACGTTGCAGTAAATTCCTACTGAAATCTACGATTTGTTACTACGTGACTCCATTAGTTTTTTGATGCTGAACGTAGGGTTAGTTGGTTTGCAAGCTGTAAACTTTGTTGAAATAGCACGAAAACTAGAAACATGGTAGAACATGCATAGGTTTTTCAATCCAAGTTTTCTGACTGATAAATATGAACATCAAATACTAGAAACGTATTAAGATAGATTTATTTATTTTATTTGATAGAATTGAAATAATAATTTACTAATGTTTGACATGTAATTTACTAAATTAGCAAGCTTATTTTCTTTGTAACTCCACTGAAAATTGAACACAAATTAACTGATTTATTTCTTTCATTTCAAAGACGTTAGGACTTTCACCTAACACACAGAACACAAAACATTATAAAGTGCAATAAACTTGAAATTTCATTTTAGATGACAGATAAATTATTATGGAAATGCTTTGTCTACAGTATTTTTTATTTATATATGAAAATGAATCAGTTTATTTGTCTTTAAATATTATTTCTCTTAGATCGCGCGCACAACTTCGGCTAAACTAACCTACAACTGTTAAGACCTTATTACCTTTCGCCTGCGACTCCGTCCGCGTGGAGTTAAAAAAAAAACAAACAAAAGTAAGTAGCCTATGTGTTCTTCCAGACTGTCCCCTACATCTACACCAAATTTCATCGAAATCCGTTCAGCAGTTTAGGCTACAAACTCTAACAAACATCTATCCATCCATCTAAACTTTCGCATTTATAATATTGTATGTTATGATATGGAGGTGCGCACACTGCTCGATTTTTAGTTGTACAACTAAACAGTTGGATTGGCTTCGAAACAATCGACAATCACAGAACACTTGTGCGATAGTTTAGTCAAAGACGTGCGCCCGATCTTATTCTCAGAATCGTAGTTAATAAAATAGTCATTTGATAAAGGTAAACGTTTCATTTTATTATTAAATTTTGTATTAATAGTAAAGTGAAATAAACATTGGCCCATCTATCATTAAGTTAATAATAGACTGTCATTAATTCTTACTTATAATTTGTTGGTAATGAGAAGGTTTTGTTTTAAGTTTTGAATTTCACATTCTCTTGTAATAACAGAGAAAACTTACTGTAAAAGTTCACTAAAGTCTGTAACTTTATCATTGTTAACTCTTTATCTCTCTTTTAAATGATTTAATACTCTAAGCGTAGAGTAGTAAGTTCCAGTTTTGCAAAAAATGAATTAACGTAACCCTACTTTCCAATAGCGCATATTGAATTATTAACTTTATAGGTTTTGAAAATTAGGTCAGCGAAAAGCTTTAATTGAAAACCTTGTGTGTGTTTTTTACTCTGTAAAACATAAACAAATGTAAATTAGTTATCTCAAAGACAATATAATATTTCTTACGCAGTTCTTATTTGTTTTATAATAGATAAATACTTAGTAATCTCTAAAGAGAATGAATATTCACAAAACAATGCGTAATTAACCAAATTTGAGAGTTCTGTAGTAAATCAGCGACACGCAAATCTAGTTAAACACGCGACGACACGCCCCGCCTGTCTCCCGCTGCTAAATTGAAACCGACAGTTTCTTGTTAACGTGCATTGAATTATACAATTACATTTTCAAAAAATCTCTGGTAAATTGCGAACAGTCTACTGTTATTCACTTGAGTTGAATAAGGCTTTGCCATAAAAGAGATAACTGTGTGTACAGTTCGGGAATCTGGCAGTGTTGCCTTATAAAAGTTACTATCGCTTGGACATTTTACGAATTAAAATGACGTGGAATAATTAACAATGGGACGCAGCTTTTAAATGTGTCCAAAAAGAGTCAGTCATTTTGGCAAGAAGATCCTGAGTTCGTCTTGTTGTAAGGAACAGAGCATTTATTCTCGACTGCACTTAAATCAATGTTTTCAGCTGCATGCTTTTGTTTTTGCTATTTTTTCAGCAGTCAGCTGTCCCCAGTAATGGTATAAAGGTTGCTCAGATAACATCAAGCGTAAGTCGCTTAGTAGGTCTAAGTCTATGAAGTGTTGATGTTTGTGATAAGGGGAACAGAGGAACGAAGGACGCAAACGAGGATATTAAGAAGGATCAACGTAGAACATCTTCATGTTACTGCTTTTCCCCATACAGTAAAAGGAACTAATATCAGGATTATTCAGGTTAATAGCGTCGTGAAACGGTCCTAATCATTGCTGTAACTCGGATATGTTGTGCGAATCACGTCATAAAATTAATGCTTGTCAATATGTTTAATTATTTCCGACTAGCTTTCGACAGCGATTGCGTCCGCGTGGAATAAAATTAGTAACCTATGTGTTCTTCCAGACTATCCTCTACATCTATGCCAAATTTCATCGAAATCCGTTTTACAGTTCAGGCTGCAAAGTCTAAAATATCCATCCATCTTTTTTTATATAAAATAAGGTGGCAAACGAGCAAGCGGCTACCTGAATCCGCCAAAATGGCGAAGCGACCGCTGCACATAGACATCCGCAATTGCACCGCACTCATCAGACGAAACACGGAATTGCTTCCATTTCACGCCTGTCTTCTGTGTGGTCGTGGTATTACACCGGGCGTGCCGGCCCATTCATGCTAAGATTAAAGCGGGCACTACCGCTGTAAAAATGTTATTATTAAGTTAATGGTTAAATGGTTGCATTGAATTTTATTGGCATATTTCAACTGTAGTTCACTTCATGTTATGTTCAGCGTAAACAAAACAATTTCGTTCACGTAAATACGGTATGTTTAATAACGCCGAGCCATCGGAAATATTTCAATATACGCGACTAAAGCGTAAATGTGGCAAAAACGTACTGGTATCATCCCACCTGGTTAATAAAGGGGCAAATAAACAACAACAACAACATTTTATTTAATAAACTCAAACAACCTTTGTACATAAAAAGTGTACAAGATAAGACAGACTTAGTAACATTTTAGACACGTCAAGCGCTAACTCCGTACTTCGTAGCGCAGTGCTACGAGAATCATCAGATATTCCAAGATATCTCGGAAGATAGAAACAAAAGAAACTTTAACACGCGTGAAGAAAAGAAAACATGACACCAGAATTTAAACAAAGACAATTCAACGAAGAAATTATTTATTCACATTCTTTTTAAGCAACAACAGAATTTCTACAATATTGTTTATCAAGTCTACGGTGAAATTATTGTCGAAGTCGAATTAATCTGTGTTTTATGTATGGATGTTGAAAATGTAAGTTACGTACTATATGATACGTATATCATCGTAGTAATTCTACATCATACTAATATTATAAACGCGAAAGCTTGGATGAATGGATGTTTTTTAGAATTTGTAGCTTAAACGACTGTACGGATCCGTGTGACTGTTTTGTTTTTTTTCTATTTATTTACAACTATCACAAGGTTATGGTTTAACCACATTTTTTATTATTTAACTAAAATTTAAAACAGAAAACAATCATTGTTCTGATATAATCAAGTGTATGAAAAACTAGCTTTTGCCCGCGACTTCGTCTGCGTGAAATTAAAACAATAATATAAGCATGGCCTATGTCATCTACTGACATCGTAGCTTTTCAATGGTAAAAGAATTTTTGAAATCGACCCAGTAGTTTTTTAGTTATTTCATTACAATCAAACAAACAAAGTTTTCTTACTTAACTTTTTAACCCTTCCATCTGTTTAGAGGATGTACATCCTATATATAATCTATACACTAGTCAATAATAATTAATAAAACACATTGTTAGAACATACGACACCAAATTAATATGTGCCAGAGACCTTAAGCGACGCTCGTAAAGTCAGGACTCCATAAAGAGTGTGTCGACATTCGTATGAGATATTGCCATCCTTCTCACGCTGTTTGAAAATAATAGAGATAGCGTTACGTATGACGGCTGTTGTCTCGGTTTTGACATTTGGAAAATATTTGCTGGTAACCTAATAATGAAGTGTGTTTACGAGTTTGTGATAAAAATTAACTATATGTTTAAAGATAAGATTACCTAACAATAAATGATTCGGGAATACATAAACGTTAATATACATATTTAGTATTTATTTACTTTTTATACTTCCTAGCAACTAAATGAAGATGTTAACTTCTATGAAATATTAATATTCTCCTCTAGTATTAACAAGTATTGGCACTAGATTTTACGAATTTGTTTTTTTAGTTTTAATTTATTTACTTATTTCTGAGTCTCTAGATACTCGCCTTTTGAGCCAGTATCAAATTTTTAGTGAAATATTAATTTTATTAACTCTTAGTAATGAGAGATTTCTAAGATCAATAAAGATATGCTCTATTCATTGTAATCATTTTCAAACATTCAAATTTGACCTATAAAGTCTTTTAATAGTATGAAGAGGAACTATCCATATTTGGTTCTATGTGTCAAATAAACTGAAAAACTATTAGACCGAATTAAAAAATTCTTTCCTGATCAGAAAGCTGCATTATCACTTAGCGTCATAGGCTATATTTATTACTAGGTTTTTATTTAATATCACGGGGATGGAATCACATGCAACAACTAGTCTTAAACTAAAAAAAATAACCTAAATATAATACTTAGGTAAAATTAAGTTTTCAAAAAGGTATACGCAGAAAATATAATTCTATAAGCTACCAACGCCACATTAAAATACTCAATGCAGTTGACACACGTCAGTAGATGCACTTACTGCAGGCCGCTGCACCGGTAAGCTATCCACACCCATCTTAAGCACTCAACTTGAATAACTTATTACATAGTTAAACACAACCGTGTCGCAGGCTTGATTCTTTATTTTTTTTTCAGGCCTCAGCCGCGGAGCAGCCTCGCGTTAGATCCCATCCTTGGTTCTCGAGGTACTGAATACTGAAAACTTTTAGTGATGTGACATGAAGGAATTGATTTTAATCTTATTTTCATATTTGCTTATCTTTTAAGTATCATTTTAATGGCTAGTTAAGTTTATAACTATAACCATAAGATTCTT